TCCCGGCGCCCTCGCCGCCTCTCTGCTCCCAGGCACCCGCCCGGGAAGCTTCCTGTTCTCTTTTGCAGCCGCGGGTCCCCGGGGTGGACACATCTGGGGAGGGGGCTCGCGGTGCATGGTGGGAGTGGGTGTGCAGGTGGGTCCGCGGCTGGGGCGGAAGTTTCTGTGTCGCGTGTGCCCATCTGGGGGTGGAGGGGCCAGTGTCTGCCCATTTATGGGTTTCTGTGCCTTTCTGGGGTGGGTGTATCCGGATGCGCACATCTGGGGAAGTGTGTACGCATGTGCACTTGCGTTGTGTGTACAGCCCCGTGTGTGCCCATCGGGGTGCCCATGCACGAAGGGCTGGTTGAATGGACACAGTGACGTGGGATCGTCTTTAGACATCAGTGTTTCGTGACTGTGCACCGGTCTGTGGGTGTCTGTGTGCACGATCTGGCTGCATCTCAGGGTGCATTTGTCACCGTGGAGGCATGTGCCGGATGTGTCCCTGTGTGGGTTGCATGGGTTTGTGTCTGTTTGAGGAGGGGGCCCTGACCTTTGGCTCCTCCCAGGACTCGCCCACACACCTGCTAGCTAGGCTGTGGAAACCCCGGGACAGAGCCCTAAGAGTGGGATGGGGAGAGTGACCGGTCTGACCTTGACCTCAGATCTCCCCCCTATTTGCCACTCTGATCTTCTGAGTCTGCCCCAGCCAGAGTTCCAGGTCAGGAACACAGAACAGGGTCCAAATATGGGGTTTGGGGGGAGGGTCCTTGCCCTAGAGACTCCAGGCCAGCTCCTCCCAAGTCCAAGTTTCTCTAAACCAGAGCATCACCTCCTTCCCCCAAGGGCCTCAGTTTCTTCCTTGGACAGGCCGAGAGACAAGCAGTGGCCGGGAGCCGGGTGTCTTGACCCTACCTGGGCCTCAGTGTCCTCCTTCGCTGGCCTGGGAAGGCTGCCTGCCCAGAGAGCCTGGTGGTTTGGCCATCTGCCACTCTTCTCACACACCAGGGCCACCATCGACCGGCCTGACCACCTGGATCTCAGCTGGCTTGTGGTTGTGGCCACTTGTTGGCCAGACAGCCGTGAGAGGGTTTCCCTGGCCCCGCCCCACAGGACCAGAGCAGGCCTGAGCCTGGGTCAGGGCCAGGGTCCCCCCAGCTGGGCCAGTCTCTCCCCAGGAGGAGCTTCGTGACTCAGCCCCTCGGAAGGGAACAGTTGCACACTGTGCTTTCCTTCCCTTTTGTCTGGTCATCGCTGCTGCCTCCAACTGGGAGGGGATCGGAAGCGAGGCTTCCTCCTCTGAGCTCCAGACTGACAGGTCCTGTCGTCCAGGCTCTGCCTCTCTCTCATTTCCCAAACGGTGAGGCAGGCCTGCCCAGGGCATCACTGGGACCCCGACTGGCCGCCCCGGCCCTCCACCTGCCTGTGAGCAGCCCACTCTTCGTTTCTGGCCTGGGGAGGTGGGAAGAGAGACTGCCCTGGACACCCAGGTGCCAGCCCTGTCCTGGCCATAGGTGTGAATCTGCTGACCTCAGAGCAGGGCAGGGGAGGGACCTGAAACCTGAGGCTCTCCGGTGGGGGGTGGGCAAGGCAGCGGGGATGGGGCGTGGGGGCATGAATCTTTGATGATGGAGGCTCAGGTGTCCCAGGCCTGGCCTCTGGATTATTGATGGTGGCTGAGGAGGCATGGGGGGTTGTCTCTTCCCTTTCTGGGGTGTCACTGCCCTGGTAATACTAGAAGGGACGTTGTCAGCCTCTCCTTTGGGAGAGCTTCTTGGTGGCCGTCCCTCCCAAAAGGAGCAACTCAGCACAGCCGGCCCTGCTGTCATTACAGTGACAAAACTGACATGTTGTTAGTAGAGGCCCTGCTACGGAGCACTTTGTCCCATTCACTCCTCTCTGTGGCCTTCTGCATTTGGGGAGTGTGAGCTTCACATTATAGGTGAGTTTGAGGTTCAGTAAGGTCCGGGGTCACACAGCAGTGAGAGAGAGAGGTGGTGCCCCAGAGGCCAGGGCTTCATCAGGGACCTGCTTGGACTCTGCAGGTGGGTAGTTCTGCCCTGGCCCAGTGGGGCTGTGTCTCCATGCCCTGCTGCTCTGAGCACCAAGGACCTGTGGGCTCAGCTGGGACCTGGCCCATCCAGCGGCCCTGAAGGGTGGTGGTGCACAGCGGAGGTCTCGGGCTCAGGGTCATCCTGCATGAGGGGCACCTGAGGACAGGACCACGGTTGTTTCCTAAAGGCCCCCCCGCCCCCGAGCCGCGGGCCCTATAAATATTCTCTGACCTCAGTCCTCCAACTGTGTTCCTGCAGAAACCTCCTGACCCCCGGGCAGCCTCAAGGTCATGCTGGCTCGCCCTGTTTTACCCAGAGACCGCGTTGGGCCCATGCCTACTTGGACCTTGGTTTCTCCCTGAAACACAGTGGGTCTGGGACTTCCCATGGTTCCCTAGCTCTGACCATGATCCTCGCCTAGGCACTTGGGTTCGCAGTCATTGGCTGTCACCTTCCAGCTCTGTGGCCCAAGGACAAAACAAGATCTGTTTGGGGGTGTTCCTGAAGGAGCGATTCTTCCCCCATGAAGCCTTCCCGACCGCCTGGGGTTGGGAGCTTGCTGCCCCCTGGCAGGGCTGTGTGTGCACATGGCTGTGTTTCTGTGTGTACTTCCTATCTCCTTTGCCTGCAAACCTGTCATTGCCAAGCCCTGTACTTGCTGTTCGGGTGTGTGTTAGCACCCTGGGCACTGTGGCTGGGCGTGTGCACGTCTAAATGTGTGTGTCCGTCTGTTAGACCAGCTGAGTGTGTGCTCAGCTGGGGGGGGCTACATTCATACTCCTCTGTCATCTGCACACATTGATGTGTTACGTTCACACATGCCGGGCTGAGAATGTACCTGTTTGTTGCCACATGCAACATGTACGGGTGTGTGTGTGTACACACGTGTGTTAATGGGCATAGTGGTCATTGCACATCGGGGGAGCTGTTCGTGTGTTTCTGTCTGTGGCCATGACAGTACTGAGTGTGTCCCAGTCCAGCCCGGGGCTGGGCCTTCCTCCGACTGGCCTGGCCTGTCCCAGATCCCGCCCCGTCTTTGAATGGGCTGTGCCGTCCCTGCGGCCCTGTCACCAGAGCTCCTCCAGCCAGGCAGCCACTCGCCTGCCACCTCTGCTGGCTAAATTTGGGAGCTTATGTTCGTTGGCATCTCGGGTTCCCAGTCACATGGGGGGCCGTATTTAACCCGGCTCCCAGCTCAGCCACCAGACCCCGCAGCGCAGAGCAGGCCCCAAGCGTGTCCCCTCCACCCCACTCGCTCCGCCCGCTCATCGCCACCATGTTCCTCGTTCTTGTAGCTACCGAGGAGCTGAAGGAATTCTTTGCCAAGGCGCGGGATGGCTCCGTACGGCTAATCAAAGTCGTCATTGAGGATGGTGAGTGCCCCCAGTGAGCCGGGACGGAGGCTGGGTGCTGGACCCGGCTGCTTCTCTGGGAGGTGGGGGGATGTTGACCTCCAGTCCCCTCAGGACCTCAGTTTCCCCATCTGGGAATGGAAGGTGCCTTGTAGGAGAGCACTGGAGGTGGCCTGGTTATTAAAAAGAGCAGGGAAGGCCTGGTCCTGGGGTCATGCCCAGCCCCCCACACCTCACACAGGCTGTAGAGGGCTGGGCTGGGATGGGTGGGGGGCAAGGAATAAGCTAAGCCAGGCTCTGCCCCATGTGGCCAAAGCTATTCACCTCCATCTGTGGTTGGCAGGACTAGACTGGCTTGGCTGCTGGCCAGGGGGGTCCCCAGGAGAAGCCGGGGCCCTACCCTCGGAAAATGCCCCCACAAGGGGGCAAAGGGACTTGTGTCCAGCTCTCTTTGAGATCGAGATGGGTGAACTCTAGGCTTGGTTGGGCCTTGGCCTGGACCCTGTGGACCTCGGGGCTTATGCAGGGGGAGGGGTGAGAGGTAGGGGGAGGGAGAGGCTTTCCCTGGAGATGAGGGTGTGGACTCTGGGGCATGGACAGGCCCCCCACAGGTCCTTGCAGCCATGCAGTAGTGGGCCCTTCAGGGGGCTCCCGGAATGGGCTTGGTGCCCAGGTGGCCTTTCCTACATTGAATTGGCTCAAAGCCAAGTCTGCCCAGACAGGACGTCCCTGCAGTTGCTGAGTAGGACTCTCTGGGTGGACTCGTACCTGTCTCAGTTCTTCACACTGTTGTTGGGACAGCGGGGAGTGCCCATGAAGGTCCAGGCCCCCCAGCGGGCAGCCACTGCCCATCTCCAGCTGAGTGTGGCCCAGCTCCTGATTTTTCTAGAGAAACCATGAATTTCACTTCTTGTGTAAAACTCCCCAGTTTGAAGATGCAGACAGCAAATTAAACAGCCTTGATAGTGCTCTTGGGGCTGACAGCCTGTGACGGCTGGTTTCGGCCCTGATCCCATCCGAGTGGTGAGAGGACAGGCGAGGAGCCGAGGCCCGCAGAGAGGCGGCTGGGCTGCTGGGCCAGGCATGTTGGGGCCCCTTGCCCCCATCAGGAGGGCCTGGTGCTCCGGTGTCAGGACCCCTGGCCAGGGAGTGACTATCCCCTGGCCCCAGTTTTTCCTCCAGCCTGGGCCCCTGTGCACCTGCCAGGGAGGCGGCAGGCCTGCAGCCCAGGCATTGCAAGGTGCCTGCTTCTGATTTGTTACATTTTAGGGAGGGGACTATAGCTGGTGGGCATCCACAGGGTCACTGTTTTTATGGTGTTTGGCAGGTGCCCCCATTTCCCTTTCCCACGCATTTGCCCCTGTGGGTCCCTGTGGCCTGCGGCCTGAGCCCCTCTGTTCTGAGAAGGCTGTGCTGGGGTTTACGGGAGCCCCAGGCTGAGGGAGCAGGGGGGCGGGAGGTGAGCCGGTGGGTGGGTGTCCGTGAGGGGCCCGCGTTGTTGGCGGCGGTTTGGACGCATCTGCGCATCCTCCCGTGGTGGTCTGTGTCGGGTCACGTTTAGGCAGCCTCTGGGCCGCGCGTGTGTGTGTGTGTGTGTGTGTGTGTGTGTGTCGGGAGCGGCCTCTAGGGGCAGTTGTCATCATTCATTCACTCCTCGCTGCTTCAGTCCCACAGCCTTGTCCTTCAGGGACTTGGGGGCTCCAGAGGAAGGTGGGGAGGGTTTGCCTGCAGGTCTGAGGTTCGGTCGGGGTGGGCGTGGGGCATGGCTGCGCCTGGCTCACCCGGCCTCTGCCCCCAGAGCAGCTCACGCTGGGTGCGTCGCGGGAGCCGGGGGGCAGCTGGGACCAGGACTACGACAGGGCTGTGCTGCCGCTCCTGGACGCCCAGCAGCCCTGCTACCTGCTCTACCGCCTGGACTCCAAGAACGCCCAGGGCTTCGAGTGGCTCTTCCTCGCCTGGTCGCCTGACAATTCCCCCGTGAGTTCCAGGGCTCCCGGCCGTCCCAAGATCAGGGAAAGGGGAAGCTGGGTCTGAGTGTGGCAACAAGGCCCAGCCCTGGGGAGTCAGGGGACAGACATCAGGCCCTGCTCCGGGCAGCCTGAGGGGACAAGGCCCTGGGGTCGCCTCCAGCCCTCCCGCCCCATCAGCCGGGCTCTAGGAGTCACAGGTTGGGCTGGGCAAGGGCTCCCCCTGCCGTCCGAGCCACCCCGCCGCCTCCTTCCCTCCCTGCTGCGCCCTCTGGGGGGGGGGCTCAGTGAGGTAACCGGCCCCACACAGAGGCTCCTGCCTGCTAGAGAGACAGCCTTGCCTGGAGGGGTCTCACGCCTTGTCCCCTGCCATTCAGGTGCGGCTGAAGATGCTGTATGCAGCCACACGGGCCACGGTGAAAAAGGAGTTTGGGGGCGGCCACGTGAAGGATGAGCTCTTCGGGACTGTGAAGGTAGTGCCCCAGGCCAGGGCCCTCCGAGCCGGGATCAGGGGCTCACGGAGGATGGGACGTGGTTCAGGGTCACAGAGCAAGTGGGCATGAGGCTTGGGGCTGAGTGGGGAGGGCTGGGAGAGCCCGGGGGCTGCAGGCTGGGGTGCTCAGTGGGCTGCTGTCAGCCTGCCCCGAGGTCCCCATTTATGCCTCTGCATCCACCGGCCAGGACGACCTGTCCTTTGCTGGGTACCAGAAGCACCTGTCGTCCTGTGCGGCGCCTGCCCCGCTGACCTCGGCCGAGAGAGAGCTGCAGCAGATCCGGATCAATGAGGTGGGTGCACCGGACCATGGGTGGGAGTGGGCAGAAGTCGGGGGCCTCCAGGTGACGTCAGGCCTGTGCTCCCTGGGTGGGCCGCAGTCTGGTTTGGGCGGGTGAGAGCCTCGCTCACCGTTTACCTGCCCCCAGGTGAAGACAGAGATCAGCGTGGAGAGCAAGCACCAGACGCTGCAGGGCCTTGCCTTCCCCCTGCAGCCAGAGGCCCAGCGGGCGCTGCAGCAGCTCAAGCAGAAGACAGTCAACTACATCCAGCTGGTGGGTGCGCTCCTGCCCAGGCACACACGGCACACGGCGCCCCTGCCTGCCTGCTCGCACACGCGTGCAAACCTGCACACCCACACCCCCCGGCCTGCCCACTGCGGCTCACCTGCGCACCCATGGGAACACTTGTCTACCCCACCCCCATCCTTCCCTTTTTCCCTCCACACTGCATACACATACTCACCCCTGGGCTTCACTGCCCCTCAGCTCTGAGCCCCTTCCTGTCCCAGACTTGATGTCTGCAGACCCCTGACCCTCCTGTCTCCAGGCAGGGCCCTCTGCAGCTGCGGTCCAGGCTGTCCCCTCTCAAGCAGAATGGTTCCTCCTTTCCAAGACTCGCCACCCCAGAGGCCTTGGCCCTGAGGGTGGGCTGGCCCGAGGTCAAGGCCCTTCCCACTGTCCTGTCCACAACTCTTAGTGGGACCTCCTCCCGCAGAACTTTCCAAGGGGCTAAGTTAGGCAGGTGGCTGCTGGGGAGGGGCATCCTGGCAGTGAGCTCCTGCCA